TGTACTGCATATTTTGCAGTTCAGAATTTGGTGTTATTGTTGATTTTTAAGCCATGCCTGAACTCCAAATATAGAAAATAAAAGGGCTTTTTAGAATCAGCAGGTCATGAAAAATCAGTACTACTTGAAAGTGCACACAAAAATACCATCAACAATTCATTCAGTGTTAAATTTGAGGGTTGTCCTATTCATTTTTTTTAAAATTAAAATTATCTAAACAGAAATGAGTAATGATTTTGGAAGTATAAAAATACTTAAATAGCAGTGAGATAAAAAAAGAGTGGGGAACAAAAGAGGATAAAAGCTTGATTGCTTTTCCTTATACAATTTTTTTCTATTTTTTAAATTATTTTTTTAATATGTATCTTAAACATATTAAATCTCATCTTTTGAATTTTCACTTTAATCCTCATCTCAGTGTAAAACTTATCCAACACAAATAATAGCTTTCTTTAAAAAACAAAAAACAAAAATCAACATGGACGTGTTAATGTTACCTTGCTATTATGCAATTGTATTATGTCTTTCTCCTTTTTGTTTTATTTTTATTTATTTATATTTATTTTTTATGTTTCTACTTAACTAATTAAATACTGAAACAGTAACATTACTATTATAAACCTATTGAAATGTTTTTTAAAAACTTTTATCACATTTTAAATAGTTAATATATTTAACTCAGTGATGTTAATCATTCTGTTCGACAGCTCATTAGATGAGGCATTAAACATAAAACTGCCAAAAATGTATCATAATGCTGTTAAATAAATCATATCTGAACCGGTGTGGACGGTTGTATTTGCAGTATTTCACTAGCATTATTGTAGCATCAGAAACAGTTCAGGAAAAGACCACCTTTCCCAAGGGAGCAACCTTCTCAGGAGTGGATTGAAAGGGCTTACAGGAACCCCTTGTCGAAGTTTTAGAAATTATCAGAGTTCCTTGGTCACAAAAAATAACAAGTCCTTAGTGCTCTCTGAGCTTGGTTGTTTTCTTGCAGACGTTTCTGTCATGTGTCTGATTAACGAAACACTTAAAAGGACTTTCAGGCATATTTTTTCCTAAAAGCATTTATTAAGGTTACAGAGACGTCAGTACGGCATGGTGGAAATGCTTAGATCTGGATTCTTTTCCGTTACACATACATTCTAAGCATTTTTCCCCGCCCCTATTTTGGGGTCATGGTTCACATCTTCCAATTAACTT